TAGCTTATTTGCTTTGGACGTGCCTTTTTGTCTCATAACTAAAAAAATTTCTCATTTTTCTCAATCAAGCACCATTTTTTTCCAATTGGTAAGTTTTCCTAAATCCCTTCAACTATTTTTTTTATATGAATAATTTTTATGTATTGATTTGTGTCAAGAACACTGATTGCAATAATAATTTTAGTGTATTGTTTATCAAGGTTTTTTAATGGAAAAATAGTACTCTAAATCATGATTATTAAAACTTTTAAACTTTATTTTTAAACGAAAGTGATATATTTTGTTGAAATGAAAATGTTATAATATTTTATTAATATAATGTTCAATTTCACTTCCTCATTCTGATATTGAAAACAAACAACATTAATTATTTAGTGTTCAGATTTATAGCTCACATCTTAAAATCAGATATATATTGAGATCAAAACACCCAGATCTTAATGTAAATCTTAATATTCAGATGTGTATTCAGATTCAGACATTTTTATCTTAATAGAAACAAATTAGGCCTAAATCTGAAATAGATTTTATATATTATGATGAAGTTAAATATGAATTACTATCTATCCATTGAAGTATAATTATAGTCTAAAATTCAAAACTTGTATCAAGATGTTATTTTAAAGAACGAAGAAAATATAATGAAACAAGGAAAATCACAGTTAATCCATATATCTCGATGCTCTAAACAGCAGTAGCAAAACATGGCTAACTCGTATATCAGTCAATTGATACTTAATCAACGCCTAAGAGCTAACTTCATTGCCACTAATTTTATTTAAGAAGTTAAGGTAAATGATAACTAAGTAGCAAGGACTTTATTCTCAAAAAAGGAAAACGGAAAACCTCATAAATAGTATTTTCAGTTTGACATTCAAAAAATAGAAAAAGAAGTTATTAGATTGTGATCTAAAAATTAGTATTTGTGCCTTCACCCGAAAACCAAGGAAGAATCTTCAACACTAAATTTTTGTCCTTATTACTTGCGTTCATTTACTAAGAAAGTCAAAGTTCACTAAGGCCTCATTTGTTTGCATTTAATGGAGGTCTGAATCTTAATCATTCAGATTCAGCCCATTAAGTAAATTTGGTTTTAAGTCTGAATTTGAATCATTCAGATTCAGTCCATTAAGTTCATTTGTTTTATTTTTTGAAAATCTCTTAATGTATCCGAAGAGGTCTAAACGAATCAGATTTGTAAGAGACTCTTAACAACATTCAGACTTATTTGATAAGTTATCAAATAATAAATTATAGCTTATTTGCTTTAGACGTGCCTTTTTATCTCATAACTAAAAAAAAATTCTCATTTTTCTCAATCAAACACCATTTTTTTCCAATTGGGAAGTTTTCCTAAATCCCTTCAACAATTTTTTTTATATGAATAATTTTCATGTATTGATTTGTGTCAAGAACACTGGTTGCAATAATAATTTTAGTGTTTTGTTTATCAAATTTTTTTAATGAAAAAATAGTACTCCAAATCATGATTATTAAAACTTTTAAAACTGTTTTTTTAATCAAAAGTGATATATTTTGTTGAAATAAAAATGTTATAATATTTTATTAATATAATGTTCAATTTCACTTCCACATTCTGGTATCAAAAACAAACAATATTAATTATTTAGTGTTCAGATTTATAGCCCACATCTTAAATCAGATATACATTGAGATCAAAACAGCCAGATCTTAATGTAAATCTTAATATTCAGATGTGTATTCAGATTCAAATATTTTTTTATCTTAATAGAAACAAATTGGGCCTAAATCTAAATAGATTTTAGATATTATGATGAAGTTAAATATGAATTACTATCTATTCATGGAAGTATAATTATAGTCTAAAATTCGAAACTTGTATCAAGATGTGATTTTAAAGAACGAAGAAAATATACTGAAACAAGGAAAATCACAGTTAATGTATATATCCGGATGCTCTTTTCAGCAGTAGCAAAATATGGCTTTCTCATATATCAGTCAATTGATACTTAATCAACAATTAAGAGTTAACTTCATTATCACTATGTTAATTGAAAAAGTTAAGGTAAATGAAAAATAAGAACTTAATTCTTGAAAAAAAGAGGAAAACGAGAAAACTCATAAATAGTATTTTCAATTTGATATTCAAAAAATAGAAAAGGAAATTAGTAGATCGAATATTAGGATTTGCACCCTCACCGAAAAACCAAGTCTTTTTTTTTATTTACTTGCGTTTTTTTAAGTAAGAAAGTCAAAGTTAACTAAATCTGAAATAGATTTTAGAGATTACGATGAAATCAAACTTTTTATAGTAAGAAATTCATAACTTTTCTCATGATGTGATTAAAAGATTGAAAACAAGAAAAATAAGGAAGAAGATTCGCCAAGAAAATTACAGTTAATATAGCCCAACTCTTTGTTCAACGGTAGCAAAACATGGAAAAATCATCTGTCATAAAAGCTTAACAATTGATACTTAATCAACAACTAAGAGTTAACTTCATTGCGACTAATTTTAATTACAAAGGTTATGGTAAATGATTACTAAGGAGTAAGGACTTTATTCTTGAAAAAGAAAAACAGAAAGCTCATAAATAGTATTTTCAATTTGACATTCACAAAATAAAAAAGGAAGTTATTAGATCGTGATTTAAATATTAGTATTTGTGCCTTCACCCAAAAACCAAGAAAATATCTTCAAAACTAAATTTTTGTCCTTTTCACTTGCGTTCTTTTAGTAAGAAAGTCAAAGATAAGAAAAATTTGAAGTAGATTTTAGATACTATGATGAAGTTAAATATGAATTACTATCTATTCATGGAAGTATAATTATAATCTAAAATTCAAAACTTTTCTCAGGATGTGATTTGAAAGACCGAAGAAAATATAATGAAACAAGAAAAATAACAGTTAATGTATATATCCCAATGCTCTATTTAGCAGTAGCAAAACATGGCTAAATCATAAATCAGTCATGAAAACTTAACAATTGATACTTAATCAACAACTAAGAGCTAACTTCATTGTCACTATGTTTATGGAAAAAGTTAAGGTAAATGAAAAATAAAACTTAATTCTCGAAAAAAGGAGGGGGAAAAAAAACTCATGAATAGTATTTTCGATTTGATATTCAAAAAATAGAAAAGGAAGTTAGTAGATCGAATATTAGTATTTGCACCCTCACCAAAAAATCAAGCGTCTTTTTTAATTTATTTACTTGCTTTTTTTAAGTAAGAAAGTCAAAGTAAACTAAATCTAAAGTTGATTTTAGATATTACGATGAAGTCAAACATTTTATAGTAAGAAATTCCTAACTTCTCTCATGATGTGCTTAAAAGTTTGAAAACAAAAATATAAGGAAGATGATTCGCAAGTAAAATTACAGTTAATGCAGTCAACTCTTTGTTCAATAGTAGCAAAACATGGCTAAATCATATATCTGTCATTAAAACGTAATAATTGATAATTGATCAACAACGAAGAGCTAACTTCGTTGCCACTAATTTTAATTTAAAAAGTTAAGGTAAATGATTACCGAGGAGTAAGGACTTTATTCTTGAAAAAGGAAAATGGAAAACCTCTTAAATAGTATTTTCAATTGGAGATTCAAAAAAATAGAAAAGGAAGTTATTAGATAGTGATCTAAATATTCGTATTTGTGTCTTCACCCGAAAACCAAGGAAGAATCGTCAACACTAAATTTGTCCTTATTACTTCTGTTCTTTTAGTAAGAAAGTCAAACTTTACTAAATTTGAAATAGATTATAGGTGTTATGATGAAGTTAAACATGAATTACTATCTTTTCATGGAAGTATAATTATAGTCTAAAATCAAAACTTTTCTGTGGATGTGATTTAAAAGACCGATGAAAATATAATGATACAAGGAAAATTACGGTTATTGTATATATCCCAATGCTCTATACGCAATAGCAAAACATGGCTAAATCATATATTTGTCATTAAAACTTAACAATTGATACTTAATCAACAACTAAGAGCTAAATTCATTGTCACTACGTTAATTGAAAAAGTTAAGGTAAATGAAAAATAAGAACTTAATTCTTGAAAAAAAGAGGAAAACGAAAAAAAACTCATAAATGGCATTTTCAATTTGATATTCAAAAAATAGAAAAGGAAGTTAGTAGATCGAATATTAGTATTTGCACCCTCACCAAAAAACCAAGCGTCTTTTTTACTTTATTTACTTGCTTTTTTTAAGTAAGAAAGTCAAAGTGAACTAAATCTGATATAGATTTTAGATATTACGATGAAGTCAAACATTTTATGGTAAGAAATCCATAATTTTTCTCATGATGTTCTTAAAGATTGAAAATAAAAATATAAGGAAGATGATTCACAAGGATAATTACAGTGAATGTAGCCCAACTCTTTGTTCAACAGTAGCAAAAATTGTCTAAATCATATATCTATCATTAAAACTTAACAATTGATACTGAATCAACAACTAAGAGCTAACTCCATTGCCACGAATTTTAATTTAAAAAAGTTAAGGTAAATGATTACCAAGGAGTAAGGACTTTATTCTTGAAAAAGGAAAACGGAAAATCTCATAAATAGTATTTTCAATTGGACATTCAAAAAAAATAGAAAAGGAAGTTATTAGATCGTGATCTAAATATTAGTATTTGTGCATTCACCCGAAAACCAAGAAAGGATCTTCAACACTTAATTTTTGTCCTAGTTACTTGCGTTCTTTTAGTAAGAAAGTCAAATCTGAAATAGATTTTAGATATTATGATGAAGTCAAATCTGAAGTTCTATATATTCAATGAAGTAAACTTTAGTCAGAAATTCAAAATTTTTCTTCGGATGTGATTTTAAATATCAAATATAAAGAAGAAAACATCTTTTCAGTCTCCCAATTCACTCTTCATAAACTCTGATTTTGTCTTGGAACGTCCATAACTAGATCCGTAACAGGGGACCATAAAATATTTTCAGCTTTCAAGTTTGTGATTTTAGTGACTTGTATTTTTTTAATGTTTGTTTTATAGGGTTTGAAGAGTTGAAGACAGTTAATCTCCATAGTATTCATGTGAATAAACTTCACACAATAGCCAGGTCGTTGAGTGTTGCTCCATTTGCTGGTTGATCTGAAGGAGACAATAAAGTTTTCTTGTTTGTGACCTGCCAAAGTTGTAGGCTAATGAAATATAATGATAAAGCTATTTAGGGCAAAAAAAATTGCTGAGCAGAAGTTACTTGAGAATGACATTGCTGGAGCTCAAAAAATTTTCATTGAAGGCTCAAAATCGTTTTCCAGGTCTTGATGGTCTTTTTCAGTTCCTGGAGGTGGTGGCTGTTTATGTTTCTCATGAGAAGAAAACTTATGGTGAAGTAGATATATACAGTGTTCTTTCTCTCGGGCTCTCAGCTGATGATGAAACAATAAGGAAACACTACAGAAGGCTGGCTCTAGCTTCTCCTTGATAAAAATAAATCCGTTGGGGGGCAGATGGGGCATTTAAGATTATATCTGAAGCATGGAGTTTGTTGTATGATAGACCAAAAGAATGATGGATGACAATAGGCATGTTACGAGGAATGCATCCATGCAAGGCAATCGGCACGAATTTCATAATTTCTCCATGAACCGAGCAAGTGCAAGAAACTCAACAAATGCTAATTTCCAGCCCGCTCCCAAACATCAAAAGTAGAGACATTCTGGACATCTTGCAATACATGCCAGATGCCTAATGAATACTTAAATTTTCACCTAAACAAAAGTATTATGTGCCCCAAATGTCACCGGCCCTTTAGGGCAAGGGAGGTAGGTGTTCCCGTGAAAATTGAAGCTGCTTCTTTTTCGTGGTCTTCCCCTCCAGCAGCAGCAGGGTACAAACTATCTTGCTGCCAATGGATTTTCTGTTTCAGGTGTAAAGAACCCTACAGCTTCAAATTCAGTACAGTACAATCTGGTTATTCTGTCTTTGGCTCAACAGTTAGAGCAAACATTCAGTAGGATCAAGTTTTTAAGAAGAGCGATGCAAACAGTGTGCATGCCACTACAGCTGGGAAATCTGCACACTCGGCCAGCCAGTTGGTGGAAACTTGAAGAGAGCTAATGCAGAAGCAGCTCTGAGTGCCAGGAGACTTTTCTGAAGAAAAACAATTTGTTCATGAAAAACTGATGCTGGTGTTTTCCTGATTAGTTTCCACTTGTTCAGAAGCTGATAGGCTAATATAAAAGAGATGCATAAGATGAGTTGAAGTCAAAATTTCAAAGAGAAGGAATGGTAAATGAATTGACTGCAAAAGGTGAATCTAGTAGCCAAGAAAACATACATGGAAATGAAAAAGGTGTTTTGAGAGCAGAGAATGCTACCATTGTGGTAAGTAACAAGCCCAGGAGTTCAGGGGAGTTGTCCAATTCAGGAATTCACAGTATGCTGGTGAGAAAAGCTAGGATGGAGATCACCAAGAAGCTTAAAGAATGGAGCACAAATGCTACTTCTCAAACTTCATCTGAGAAGGAAAAAGAAGAAGCAAATTGCTCGTGAAGTTATCATAAATGATCTGAGAAGGGATAAAACTGCTCATGATGCTAGGGTGGATCCAAAATATCATGCGAGCAGAAAAAGTGGTAGGTCTTTGGTGCTCTGTTTGATTTTAAACCAGAAGCTACGTCAATGACTGTTCCAGATCCTGACTTCCATAATTTCGACAAGGATAGAATGGAAAAATCTTTTGATGAGAATCAAGTCTTGGTTGCTTATGATAATGATGATGGCATGCCACACTATTATGAACTGATTCGCGATATGATATCTAAAATCCATTCAAAGTGCAATTCTGCTGGTTGAACTCCAAAAACAACTCAGAACTCTTCCCAATCAATTGGGTTGGTTCTGGCTTCCTCAAGACCAGTAGAGATTTCAGGATAGGCAAGCAAGAAATAAATAAGATGCTTAATTCTTTTTCCCACTAGGTCAAGTGGGTGAAAGGGGCTGGTGGTGTTATCCAAATTTTCTCCAGAAAGGGGCATGTTTGGGGTCTGTACATGCATTGGTCTCCTAAATGGAATGTGCTAACTTTAAATGATATGATACACAACTATGATATGGTGGAAATGCTTGGCAATTGCACTGAGAAGGAAGGTGTCACTGTTTTTTCATTAGTCAAAGTAGCTGCTTCAGGTCGGTATTCCATCAGTATTTAGACCCTAATATCTTCATATTCCAAGGAAAGACATGTTTCACGCTCTTATCAGGTCCTTTCATATTTGCTCATAGGTCAAAAAGCTCCAAATGCTCCCATTGGTTGCTGGAGTTGGATCCTGCAGCCCTACCCTAGGAACTTCTTTTTTTTTTGAACTTGGTGACTTAGTATTATATCACAAAAGCACATGCAAATGCACTTTTGAGATGTACTCTAACCTTATATACAATGCACTCCAGACTCCACTTATCTAATTCTATATTGAGTTATAAAAGCAGTGTCTTTTGAGTATAATTGATTACACCAAAAAGATAACAACAAAATGCAGTTTAGTTTGACTTCCTGCACACTTTTTTCTTTGCCTTCAAAACATCTGGAATTTCTCTCTTTCCAGATAGCTCATCATATTGAAACAGGGATGATTCTCCATCTAATTCTGTCTTTTGCAAGGACACTTGCCTCCTCCCAGCTATATAAGGCCTCAGTAACTCTCCTAGGCATAGTCCAGGATATGCTTTTAAGGCTCAAGAAAATCCTCCAAAGCTGTTGAATATATTTGCAGTGTAGTAATAGATGGTTTATAGTTTCTAAGGTTTCCCACATAGGAAACACCTGGAGCATAAGGTTATCCCCCTTTTCATTACATTGTCCTAAATAATTGCAATTTTTATGAAAAGTTGTGACTTTTATGAAAGGTTTTGACTTTTTTGAAAGATTGTGACTCTTTCAAGGGGTTGTGACCTTTCCGGTGAGGCACAATAAGAACATTTTCACACTACTCTTTGTTTTCTATATAAATTGAGGGATTTCCTCTCATTTTAAAAAGACCAATTTTCTTGACTTCTTCATTGAGTGGTCGCTGCAAGTTTCCCTTGGCATAAAAAAGTATCACTTAAAATGTTTTGATTTTCATGAAAAGATATGTGAATTAAATATAATTAATGCATAGACATGAATATGGGTGAATAATCATTTGTCATGTTTTGTAAAAGAAGCATTTGAACTATATTGCCTTTATTGGACCCGATGAAACTTTGTTCATGGGTAGTGCTATAGTAATCAAATTGAATGTTACGATAAGGTCCTTTTGAAAAGGATATTTGACAAGGTGATGACTTTAAACAATGTTTGTATCACATAAAATTGTAAGAAATATGAACAAATATTTGTGATAAAAAGCTACCTCGTAGAGAGCTTTTCAAACTCAATATTTTAATTTGTTCTCACTTGCTTGGGTTAAACTATGTTGTGACATGAACACTTGGGACATGTTAATTACAAAACCTTGTAAGGAAAACCAATAACTTAGAAGTTTTGTCTAATTTTGAGTGCAATAAATAAAAAGGTCAAGTTTTTGTAGAATCTAAGTTTGCTGAGCATTCTTATAAATCTCTTGTAAGGAATTCTAATCCCTTAGAGTTGATTTACACCGATATTTGTGATATGAAGTCAACACCATCTCGTGGTGAGAAAAAGTACCTCATAACTTTCATTGACAATTGCATTTGATACAGTTATGTCTATTTGCTTAATGGTAAGGATGAAACAATAGAAACGTCTAGGCAATATAAAATTAAAGTTGAAATCAATTGAGAAAAAAAAAAGAAGTGATAGGGTTGGAGAATATAAATCTTCTTATGCAGAAATGTGTCTGAAAAGTGGATGTATCCATCAAACTATTGTCCTATCCACCTAAATCTAATGGAATTGCAGAATGAAAAAAAAAAACTTTGCGGGAAATGATGGTTGCATTACTTGTAAGTTTAGGTTTACCACAAAACTTGTGTGGAGGAACTATCCTTACTGAAAAAAAAACAATAAAAAGTTGTCTTTTCAGAAAGAAAACAATTTTGTCTCATGGACACAATCTTTTCCATACGAGAAATGGAAAGGGCTTACTGTGGAGTATGGACCGTAAAATTAGACTTGAGTAGTCCAATGAAAGGTCAAAAAGACACTGGAAAGAACAAAAAGAGAATGAACTTAATAAAGAGAATCAGACATGTGTAAATGTCAAAAGAACATCTACTTCCTTCGGATCTAATTTCTAAACATTTTCTATGTCTTCTATGGACCCATCTTTTGAAAAGATGGTGTCAATAGTGAGATAGATTCAATCTTGAGCAATCATAATGGATGTTGATTGATCTTTCTCCAAGAAATGAACCTTTAAGATCATAGTGAATCTTTAAAAGAAAAATGAAAGCTGAATATTGACCAATTTAAGGCTAGACATGTAGTCAAAAGATACT